TTAAGTCCACATGCTCAAACCATTCCCCAACATATAAAAATTATACTTACTTTAAAATAAATTTATACTAAAGTATTAAAAAAGTAGGGTTTAGTTACCTTACAGTAAAAGCAGCACACTTTTCTTCTTTTCTTTTTTCTTAGCCATTGCTTTCACATACATATTTCTTCCTAGCTTGATTAGTCAGCTTTTCCTCCAACATTTTCTATCACCACTTATTACATATACATTAAAATAGAAAATTAAAAAAAATATAAAAACCTTCAAACTCATAAACCATTAACTTTTTTTCTACCACATCTCCTCTACCTAAAAAATTAATCATCCTTCTCTCCCGCTTTTCAACTTGTGTTCGGACCCTCCCTGTTTAATCTCATACACTGCACACCTGTGTTCAGACCCTCCCTGTGTAATCTCATATGCTTCACACCTGTGATTCATAGATAAGCTTTACTTGCCAATTTTCCAATCTCACAGCTGGGAAATTAAAGCATGGTGTTTCATTGGCAGGTTTTTCAGAGGAAATAGAATAAAACCCAGTCTTCTTGATTCTCTTCTGTGTTCTGTTGGGGGGGGGGGGGGGGGTCGGGTCTGAGCTCTGGAGAAGTTATTGTTTGCTTACAATGCTTCTGTGTTTTATTGGACTAGTTGGTAAAGTTTTAGTTAAGGGAATGCTTTTTTTTTTTTTTTTCAGGAAAGCTCTGTAAGGGCTTTACTTGAAAAGAAAAGCTTTTCATTGTGAAAGTATTTAAAGCTTTTGGTGTTAATGAAAATGAAAGCTTATAGATTCTGACCTGGTTTGGCTTCTACTGTAGAATCAATAGTATGATGTAAGTAGCTTATGTTGTGCTCAGTTCCTAGCTATTGTAACAATAGCCTCTAGTCAATATAAGGTTTAAAATGCTTCTGTGTATGAGGATCTCCTTACTTTTGTTCCTCAAAGTATAAATGCAGACTAAGTTATGTGCATGCATAGAAAATAAGATCATCCAAAAAAGTAGTAGGCATATTTTCTTGTAAAACAAACAAAAATAAATATTGGAGTAACAAGCTGTGTGGACTGAGGCACTTCAAATTAGCTAGAGCTTTAAGAAGCTTTTTGTTTGTGTTTCTCAGAGATATAGTTACTGACAGTGTGAGTGCTAAGGGTTGTTGAAGTGAGACTTTTAACTAATATTAAATGACTAATAGTGCTTTTATGATCAATTATTGAAGCCTACTTGAGAGATGAGAGCTTCTTAAAGAACAACTGATTTATAAGTCAATATCCAAGTCCTGATGTATAAAGTAACCTTTCCACCAGTGGCTTATTGCGGAAAGAAATCTGTGTGAAGGGTTTTATTTTTTACCCTAATGCTCCTTATTGTCTGTTTTGGGTTTTCTCGTTCAGAGACTGGATTCGTTGTGTTGTTTGTCTTTCCTTTGTCAGAGTATTTTTTGTGCTTTTTTCACTTGCAAAGCCAAAAGCGGAACAGAACATGGTTTTGCTTGAGAGAGTCAATGTGCTTATCTGGCTCTCCTGGTGGATGAACCCTGTTCTACTGGCTGTATCAATAAGCCCCTGAAATAATTTAAACTGTGTGAGATAAATTTGTATTGGGAGTCTCAGAGAACAGACTTAATAAAGATCAATGCAAGAGGGTAGCTGTGTAGTGATAGTTTGTGTTACTGCTATGTAATAACAGTCCTGGAAGAACATAGGTCTTCTGGATATGTTTTGGGGGATGGATGTGTTAGAGCTGCTGCCGCTGGGCATATGCAGCACATTTAGAGTTGAGAAGATAGTGTGCATCTCTGCAGCAATGGTGGGCAGCTACATCTTGAGGAGCTGTTTCCCTGGAGGAGGAAGAGCAGCAAGGGGAAAGGAATAACCTGATACAGAAAAATAGGCCTTTAAGAAAGGATCCTCCCATGTGTTTTTACTAGTTGAGGTGCAAGAACAAGCTAACAAGTGCGGGGCAGGCTCCTGGCACATGCAGGTTTAAGACAGCATGTTTTCCTGAAAGGGGTTACTCATGCAAATGTGAAAGGGGCTGAAACTGCGACAGCAGCAGGGAAGGCCACAAAAAAGCTGGTCTGTGGCCCGTGAGGATTTCTACAGCTTTTTGTATACAAGTGTTTTAACCTGAACCTCCCCCAGACTTAAAAGTGGGGCCTATCAACAGCAGTACCGGAACCTTGAAAACCAAACTCGGTTTATAAATGTTGTTTGAAGCCTTTTTGCTTAATGCTTATGATATCAAACATCAGTTTCTCTCTTCCGCTATTCTCCCTGCTGAGAAGTGCATGATGTGTATCTCCCATGCTGTGCTAGCATTGTATAGTACCAGCCGAAAGCATTCGCAAGCCTACTAGAAGCATTTGCCCTTTCTGGAAAAATAATGTTCTGTAGATATGATCTATTTCCCCCAAACACACAAAGGCTTTAAGAGGATGTGCTGATGCGAGTGGCAGGGGTGTCCTTATATGTACTTACACCAGGCTCTTGCTGGAACTGTTACGCAAACGAGTGAGATGCTCTTGCCATAATAGGCGTGAACACCAGAGGGAGAATCCCCACTGAACCCCAAAGCATAACTTGCTCTTGAGGAGGTTCCTGAAGGGGCTGAATGTAATGTGAGAACAGGCTGTGGAATGGCTTGTCCAAGATGAAGAGGAGATTTTGCATGCATGGCTTCCTCTCATTTTCCACATCCCCCTCCTCCTCTGCGTACATCCCTCAAACATCCCAGCTCTGTGGATTTCGGTGGAGGCTGGGCAGTGAGTGCAGGGTGACAACGCTTCTCTCTGTCTTGGTTTCTGATGCATTGATTCTATTAAAGCAGAGCAGTATGCTGGATATTTACAGCATAGCTTGGGATGTCTTCTGTCAGACTTGTAATGCAGAGAGACAAGCTCAGTGCTGCTTGGCTTCTGGAGAGTGGGGGAAGGGATTAAATGCACTTTTCTCCATTGATTTATGTCCTGCACTGAAAATCAACGATGTTCTCTCAGATCCACTCAACTGTTTGAAAACTAGCAGCCTGTTTGGTCAAGTGTGTGGGGAAAAGTTCTGAAGGAATTGGCTCTTACAATATGGGTGGATGGGATAGATACGGCTGCTCTGTAGGAACTGTTATATTCACCTGATAATGATTGCTTTTGTATCATCAGTCTGTATTAGTTGAATATGCTGTTTAAAACACTTTCTCGCTGCTACAGAGAGAACAGCTGTTTTGGAGAGGAGGAGCCAAATGCTGTTTTTGTTTCTATCTAAGGCTCGGAGGGGCAAATGAAACTTTAATGAAACAGAATGCAGAAGGATAATTTTCATCCATGTTATTTCTCTCTGATGGGATCTGCCTGAATCTAGGGTCCAATTTTGCCCAGGGTAGCGGTGTTTCTTGTCTTCAGTAAATGCTTGAAAAGCTTATACTCTAATGAGGAGCTAAGGTACTGAATTCCTAGAGAGCTTCTAAGCCTAGTGCCTCTCACTGTGGACTTCATGAAGATTGCTGTATTTGTTTTCATCCCTGAAGAGGGAGAGCAGCATACTATCCCTGGTTTTACAATGGAGGTATATAGAAACTATGTGTAGATGGGGTTACACAGGGAGCTAATGAGAGAGCTTGAAACTGAAGTCTGATGTCTCAAACTGTAGGCTGGCAGCCTTGTATATGGCCTGCTCTTTCTCTTAGGTCTTAGAAATACTTGCATAAGTATTCCTAAAGGAAAGGATTTTTGTTCTGTCTTCCAAAGCTTTCCTTCGTCCCCAAGTTGCACAAGATGGGTAAATTTGTTTGATTTGCACTCAGCTGTTTATGATGGACATTTCTTTGTGAGTATGCCTATTTTTTAGAAAAATATGCAGTTACTGCTTATGTAGATGCACCTTAGCGGACTTTAACTAACTAGCTGGGGTTCTGGTATCTGCATAGCTGTGGCAATACCTAGATCAGCACAGGATAGCCATCCAAATGCTTACTCAGCTTCTTGAATGGTTTTATAGCTGCTGTAGGGTTTCGGGTAGCCAGTGTTACTCTACTGTTAATATCTAAATAGGCTAGCTGACAGTGCTTTGCTTTTCTGGAAAGCAGATGTATTTAGGGCGTATGGATATCAAGGTGTAAGCATGACCTGTATACGTGTAAAGTGCAATAGATCAGAACAGTTGTGTATATGCTCACATGTATAACATCACTGTTTGCACAGCCTTGCTGTGAGCACTGAGATTTAGATGTGTTTTACTAAAAAATAGAAAAGTTCTGTTCTGGCTGGTTCAGCTCAGTAGATGGTCAAAGTCATCTTCTGTGAACTCCACTCTCTACCACATTTGATCCTTCTTACAGATATTGAGAGGTTTGTCTTCACTGCTGTGATGACAGAAATGGAATAAAGTAACTAAGCTAGTTTTAAAAACTTGCTCACTTGCTGACTGCACTAGGGTGAAGCTGAAGATGGGCTGTAAATGTCTCTCGGGCTGCCTTAAAATGGCCTTTGGGAATGAGTTATAAGTTGCAGTCACTAAATGTAGACAACCAATTTCTGCTTGATTTGGCTTTTTCTCTCATCACTGAAGCACAGATAAATGCAAAATTCAATCAATTTTTAGGAATCTTTTCTCTCCCAGAAATTAAAAAAGAAAACCATTAAGCAAATGGAGAAAGTATTCCAGTAAGACTAAAAGCTTTAATTCTGCAATTTACTAGCTACAAAAGAGAATAAAGATAATGTATACATGTGAGTGTGTTTATGATTCTGAAGAGCATGTGTGCTTTTTTCCGAAGAGTCTCTCTAGCCCTTGAGTGATGAATCTGATTTTTTTCCGTGCTGGATTTTTGCTGCCTACAAACTTAACTGTTTTGACACTAGAGAAATCCTCTTGTTTCTCCTTCAAAGGTAAGTATGTATATATTATTGCTAGAAATTAACTGTACCTCACCCACATGACTGGTCTTCACTATTAATCCCAGCTGATGGTAGGGAGGGGCTCTTCTGGGAGGCAGCCATGTGGTGAACATTGAGCACAGTGTTTTCCCCTGCTTCTCTCCTTTTCAGACAAGCAAAATTGTTCTATGCTGCCGTAGATGTGAACTCCTTGCTGCACTGCCTCTGTCTCTTCTTTTCCAGAAACTCAAGGGCCTGAATTACCAGCTGCAGAGGTCTAAAAGCTCTCACTGAATCTGGATGGAATATGGACAAGGAGATGAATAGCAGAAGGGAAGAAAGAGTGAAGTTGGTTATTTTTCTGGCACATGGATGCAATTACACTCAGTGCATTCCAGAGGCGTTCCTTTGAATCCTGTGCAGGTCTGCCTGCTGTTCCTGGGAGAAAGGAAGAAAAAGGGAGGAAAAGTCCCTCTTGCTTGGAGACGGAATGTCTGCACTTTCAATTCTCTTTTTAGGTAGGTTGGCTTTTTGGTTTTGTTAGTGTTTTTAATCAAACTTCCACGCGCCCTCTCTGTGTGACTGAAATTCATTTCTGATGAGCTAGAGAAAGGGATTTGTAAAGAAAAAACTTTTATGGAAAACTCCAATTTCAGTGTCGTTTGGGTTCTGATTATTTTCTTCTTGCTTTATTAGCAGGTTGATAGCCAGAGATCTTTTAATATCTGGATTCATTTTTTAGAAGTGGTGGTTAGACAGACTCCTTTTGGAATGTACGTTTCTTGTTTAAAGAGGGCAGCGCTTTTAAGCAATGAACTAGCAAGGGGCTCGAACCTCTTTGGCAAAACAAGGTGAACAAAATGTCTTTGTTTCGGGCATAGTGTCAAATTTGTTTAACTCTGTTTTGATTTGCTTGGGCATTTAAAATTCAGATTTTAAAATAAAAAGGGGTTATTGTTTCCAATCGATGCCTAAGATTAGAAACAGATGTGTTGAAGTGCAGGAGGGAGGAGTTGGAGGGAAAGGATGGGAGAAGGGAGATAAAGGGGGAAGGCAAGAAATGGGAAGAAAGAGGGCTGCTGAAAGAAGGGAAAGAAAAGAGGTAGACATTGACTGTTGAATAGAAGAGGAGCGGAGAGTGGGAAAGGAGATGTTAAAGACATTAAACGAGAGTGAAGGCAGAAGGGCTGAAGAGAGCTGTTTGTTAAAGCCGTAGACTATGGAGAAAAGAGTTTGCAGCCCTGAGGTCTTAGAGGGAGCTTGCCTACAAGACTGACTCAGAAGCAGCCTGGGTTTCTGCATCTCCAGAGGCACTGTAATGTGATGAGTGAGCTTCTGTCTCCATTCTGCTTGCCAGTTCTGCCTGCTGACAGGCAGACAGCCTTGAAATCTGTTGTGGTTGGGCAAAGGCTGTGATTCCTGGGTCTTCCTGTCCCCCAGGAACCTGGGTACAGGTGTGAAAAAGTGCATTGGTCTTTAATTCCCTAGGAAGAGTTGAGCCCCGCAGTGTGGTGGACTGATGTGGCTGGGCACAGGTAGAATAGAGGTTTTGGACACCTATAAAAAAGGTGGCAGGGACAGCTCTGCTCCTTAAGGGTCACAGGTGTGGAACATGGACTAGCCAGATTTTGAGATATCTGAAAGATAGGCGGCATTTGTAAAACTGCTGAATAAATTGTAGAAGAGCTTTGTGCTCTAGGGATTGCTGTTAGCAAAGGTTTTATCTGTTGGAATGTGGCAGTGGGCTTGGACGTGCTGTGGAATCTGCAGGGGAGTACAGGCAGCAGTTTGTCCCCCCTGAACATTTGCTTTGGCCATTTGTGTCTCAGTATGGTGGAGACAGCATTTAAAGAAGACTCCAGGAGATGTGACAGAGGTTAGGGAGAACAGCTAGGCTTCTGCTAGAGGTGTCTGGGGCCAGGAAAGCAGCTCTGTGGAAATTAGGAGATAGAAGGATAGGTTGCTTACCTCACTGATGGAGACAAATGGGAACTGCAGTCTTTGGTCTACCAGACCTATTCAGCTGCTGAATATTTCCACATGTTGAAGGCTTGGAGCAAAAGGAATAAGCTGTTGCTTCAGAAAAGGTGCTTTTGGCTGTAATGTAATGACAATTTACCTTTGTGTGACTAGTGCTGCTTTTATCTATAAAACACAATGGGCTTTATCATTGTTATTCTTATGTCTTTGGCATCTAGGCATCTCCACTATGCTAGTAACACATAAACACAAAATAAAAGACAGTCCCTGCCATCAACAGCTTATGCCCTCACCCATGAGGTGAGTTTCTCAACCTCTCTGTGGGAGTTGTCCAAGCACTGGTGAGCAGCAGATAAGTGGCTTCCCAAAGCTCACAGCAAAACCTGGCATGTTTTGTTTCCTGGTACTAATTAGTCATTGAACTGCTGTTTGTCTTGCCCATGCTTTACCTGTCTCGTCAACAGATAACCTGGTCTTCCTGCTCTGTGTCCAGCTTCCTTCACCAATATTAGAAGCACGTTCCAGGGAAAAGGAAGTATTGTGGTTCCCTGTTCCTAGATCATCCTGAAAACAAGGAGGCTGGGGAGCCTCATTTGCTAGCTAGAGAAAGCCGAATTGATTTTCTGCAGTAAATAGGTATAGAAGTGCCAATGATGGCCTGCTTTTCTTGCTGATAAAGTGAGAGGCTAGTGTAGAAAAAGGGGGTTAGAGAAGCCAAGCAAACTTGAAAGGAAGGTTGCCTGGCTTGGCTTTTCATTCTTAAACATAGTAATAGCATGGCTAATATATACAGTCCTTGTCTTTTACGCTGTGTACCTCTTGGGGGCAAGTGAACAGCTGTGTGAGGAGACAGGAAACAGGACCCAATTAGTTTTAAGGAGACTTTTAAAACAAGACAAGATGAAAGACTTTCCTAAGTGTGGGCAAGAGCATGACCATGTTTACTTCCCTAGTAAACACTAGGTAAATGAAGCAGGGAGGAGTGGAAGATGATGCATGCTAATGCGTATGCCTACATGTAAGTGTGACACCTGATTCTCATCTCAGTCTACAGCTGGTCAAAATTGTTTCAGACTCCTTGTATAACACGCTGCACTCAAAAATCAAAAGGGAAATTTCCAAGGGAAATATCTGTGATTCTTCTCTTCTGAGTGTAAAAACTTCATAATAGAATGTTGCATTCCTCAGCCAGTAAAAAACTAGCAAATGCTTTAATTTAAATGGTTTCCTGAACTGGCTTAAATTTTCAGGTGCTAGAAGTCTCCTTTGCCTTCTTTCACACCCTCCAAGTCAATTTTGAATATTTTTAATGAGCCTTCCATTAAAGTAAAAAGCTAATTTTCTTGTAATCAAATATATTCACGTGGGTAATGCTTGTATGCCTGGTTTTGACACTGCTATTACATGCTTTTTCTTCACTTGTTGGCTAGTGTATGTGCTCTGCCCTTCAGAAACAAATGGGTTCAAGATTCAAAGCAGTAGATGTGCCAAGCCAAAGCAGTCATCCAGCTTTCTGGTGTCCTGCTATTGGCAGTGAACCTTTACATTAGTGTTAGGGGTTGCTCACCGCAATGCACATTGAGTCTGACTTAACAATTGTCTGACAAAGGCGTGTTCAGTGTGTTAGAATTGGTATGTTACACAGGGGTGGTGTTGCTCGAGTGGGTGCAGCTGTAATAGTAAAAGTACCTTTTGTACTGATGTTGCTGAGCTCTGCCCTCTAAGCTCTGAGGTCAATGACTCTCTTACAGCGCTATCCCAGGGGTATACAGTCGCTGCACTGAACACCAAGACTCTGATTGTCTCACTGCGCTGGGAAAAAGGTTATGGCGCAGATCCTTCCAGTGCCTGTTGGCATGAGCAATTGGGTCTGACAGCATGCGTTTGCCTAGGTATTCACCAGACTTCTAGCTTGAAAATCTGTGATGATATGGAAGCAGCTCTGCAGCATTCAGCGGTGGTAGGTCAGCCTGAGGCTGTGCTCTAGTGTGCTGACTCTGGCCTTCTCTTCTGCTTTAAAAGCACAGGCAACCTGCAGTGTGCCCTATCGCATCTCCTTGAGTTCCTTCTCCTTAAACCTTTGCAATGCTACACTCCAGCGAAGCCAAGAACCACTGCAGTGTTTTTTTAAAAAAAAATGCACTCCTGCTCCTAGTGAGGTTACTGGGAAGTTTTACATTTTAATGGAATGCTTCTGCCTGGAACTAGTAAAAAGCAAGGGAGACTCTTTTAAGCAACCTGAAAACTAAGCTGATGGATCTTACGGTTCTGCTGATTTTCCAGGTATTTCCTGAATTTCTCAGCAATAACTACCAGTATATAATAACTTGCTATTTGCTAGTTTTCTTGTCGCTCCTTCTCTCTTGCTTTTGCCTCTTTGCTTCATGATGTACTTAGAAGCTTGGTGAGACAAGGATTTTGCCCCATGTTTTTACAGCACTTAACAAAAACAAAGCCTTGGCTCAGGAGTGGAGCACAAAAAGAAGAACCTGTAGCTGTGAAAAGGGTTTTTGTATGTGATTTTGATCTGTGGATTTTACTTTCTCTTTGTGTCACTGGATTCTGAAGGAATGCAGGTAACTTCTTGGTGTATATAGCTCAAAAGACCATTTTTGCAAGGACAGCTTTATATAATTGACGATGTTTCTGTCATGAAAACTCCAAAAGCGGTCAACAAAACATCAACTGTATGCAAGATTCAGCCTGTTACAGTAGTGTGAATTTAGTTCTAGGACAGAGGAAAGAGCTCTTTAATAGAACACTACCCTAGGAATACCTAAGTAAAGGGAGCAAAGAAAAGCAGTGTTTCCATTTGGCACTCCAGGGGGAATTCAAAGGAGCTAGACAATTAAGTGAGTTGCTATCTGGCGGGATATCAGGGTTAACACTCCTTGTGAGACACTAAAATTCTTCTAAAGCCAGGGATGGTTTGCATCAAATATTTTCTGTCAAGACACTTTGTAGTGCTTTGTTTTATATGGAATAGTTTGGATTTTTAGCATCTAATTTTAAAAATGCTTATTTGGGGGGTTATTTTTATCCTTTTTGTTTTTCTGCTTTACCATGAGGAAGAAAAGGAGGAAAAAGGTAACCTTCCAGAGTGAGGAAAAGCAGCATGCCAAAGTTGAGTTGAAATCCTGAAGATGAATTCATTTTATGGGAAATAGAGCTGAGGGGGGAGGCAACTTTTCTGAATTTCCCATGGAAAGCAACTGGCGTTTTGCCTTTGTGCCCATCCTGGACCTTGTCTCCTCCATGTAGAATTAGTGGTCTGTTTCTGTGTGGTACTCTGGCCTACTTCAGAAGAACATTTTGTGTAAGAGCAGCACAAGCTTCCCAGAAGTGTCATTGCACAACTGGCTTGGAGATATCCTGGTGTTTATCCTCAGGATCACAACAAACACCCCTGTTTTCCTCAAGGCAAATACAGGGCTTTATAGGGAACTTAGCAGGTTTGCAATCTGGGATTTGTTTGAGTTTTCAGGAGCTGCCCGAAAAGAAATGTAAACAGTCACTCTGACAAAGCCTTGTGTGTATT